AAAAAAAAAAAAAAAGCTACTGTAAACAAAACCAGAATGTATCTCCTGTCATTCATAAAGTAAAGGAAAAAAAAAACTAGAATGCAAAATCACAGCCCATGCAGTGTTTCTTCATTCTCCTTCCACTTAACCTTTATTTCTAGTGTTTGCACTGTGGGTCATTTATGTTCACAAATGTGCTGCATTATAAGCTTTTAAATTTCTCTTCTACATATAAATAGTGTGCTTCCTTATAACAGGCACCAATCCCTGTTTCCTGTGCTCCCCCCAAATTACCATCTTCAGGCCTTTGCAAAATATTAGAGAAAGGAAGGGGAAATGTGTTAGAAGGGCCACTGTGTCATCTTAGTTGTGAAGTTTAGAGCCAAGAATGCTTTTTTTTTTTTTATCTATTTAGACTTGTAAGAAAAAATTTTTGATTTTTTTAAATGTTATTTTCAAGATGTCCTAAAACAGGAAAAAAGACAGACCAAAAGTTGGTTAGATGAAGGACTAATTTCAGGATTACTGTTTCCTGGAGAATTCTTCATACAGTCTAGGCCTGCCCTGTGCAATATACAGGGAATCACTGTGGTCATCGAGTACCTAAGGTGTGGCTAGTTTGAAAGATGTAGATACAAGACCACAATTCTTAAAAGCTAGGTATGAACAAAAGAATGTAAAATATTCATATGTGTGTGTTATATGTCAAAATATTTCAGATTTATTGAGTTAAATAAAATATTTCAATTAATTTCACCTGTTTCTTATTTTTAATTTGAAATTCCGTAAATTATGTAAGGTAACTTAAATTTTAAACTTGCCTCGTATTTTCACTGGACAGCGCTGGTCTAAGTAATTAATAAAACCAAGCTGACAATCAGTATCTATTTTGTTCTCCCCTTGCGTCTTTCAGGCCGCTGCCAGAGAAGCCTGGGGCACCTTTAACCCTGCCAACGCCCTGCGTAGGAATCTTTTTGATTGGAGTAGGGTAAGAAAGTAATAAATTAAAAAGTGGCTAAATGGGCTCGTACCCACTGGGCGTCTCGCACCGCAAGCTCCCGAATCTCCTCCGGCAGAGCGTCCCCAAGCTTTTGCACAAAGCAACTACACAGTTGTAGCATTTCCATCACAGCTCGCTTCGAGGTGCAGCGCACACGAAAGTCCTCTCGGGGGATGGAAGACACGAAGGCCTGGCTGTCTGTCCCGGCTACTGCCTCTTTGTCACAAGGAGAGTTAAGAACCACAAACTCAGAGGTCCCCGCCATTTTTCCAGTTTGAACTGTGCGCAGGGGACTCTGGGAGCGGAAAAGCAGGCTCCCGCTGGTGTAAGACGCACAGGTCCGGCCGGAAACTCAGGCCAACGCAGCTGCAACGTTCCTACTCTGGCTCGGCTGGCGCGTATGGGGTGACAGCGATGGGAACCGTGGGCGTAGGGCTGGTGGACTGTCATTGTCACCTCTCCGAACCGGCCTTTGACCACGTACGTGAGAGCAATGCAGGGTGTGGGACGGGGGAAAGCGTCCTTTCCCCTCAGGTTATCTTTGCTGTCATTCTTTATAACGAAGCCCCATATCCTCCCTAGGCCCTTGTCTGTGGCCGTGTGACCCGCTCCTGATTTCCTATTTAACCTCAGATATACTGATTTTTTTCCGGATTCAAGAGCTTATCTCCACAAGGCTTTTGTTTGCAGTTCTTGGTATCTGGAATCCTTCTCCCTTCCTCCCCTTGGCCGGGCTATTTTTCCCATCCGCCTCTCATCTAACTACTAGCAGGCCATTTTCCCCAAAGAAGTGGTACATAAAAGGCGTTCTAATGGGGAAGGGAGCAAACAAGAAGAATAAAACACACGCACAGTGGCGGCGCCTGTGGGTCAGTGAGTAGGGCGCGGACTCCATATACCGAGGGTGGAGGTTTCAAACCCGGCCCTGGCCAAACTGCAACAAAAAATAACCAGGCGTTGTTCCGGGACCTGTAGTCCCAGCTAGTCGGGAAGCTGAGGCAAGAGAATCGCCTAAGCCCAGGAGCTGGAGGTTGCTGTGAGCTGCACTGCCATGGCACTCTACCAAGGGTGACAAAGTGAGACTCTGTCTCTAAAACACACACATACACGCACAAAATCAGTTACAAAGTGTTTTATCCTCTACGTTAGAAACTAGAGTCTGAAAATAGAGAAGGAAAAGTGGGAGTCTATTTCAGAGGGGCAAACCTCTGAGGAGGTGAGGAGGTGACAGTTAAGGCTGGGAAGAAAAGGAGCCGCCCAAGCAAAAAAGAGGGTGATTGTATAGTGGTAAGGAAAGCAGACAGGTTGCAGGTCCCCCCCCCCCCATGAAATTTGCCGAAATGCTGGATG